GTGTGTGTGTGTGTGTGTGTGTGTGTGTGTGTGTGTGTGTGTGTGTGTGTGTGTGTGTGCATTATCAGAATGTCGGATGCATGGCCATGCACCTGCGTTTGATGGATTTTGTGAGCACAAGCATGGACGGTTTCGTCACACATGGTCACTCGTCTGACATTGAATTGTGTGTGGGTGAGTGTGAGAGAGGTTCCATTTGTGTGTCAACAAGCCACATTGCTGTCTGTCCACGGAGTGATGCGACTGTCAGCCGGCCTGTCACACTCTTCGGTATGCAGGATGAATGGGCGCTATGTCTGGCACAGATGAACTTATTTCTAGTCACGGTATAATAAATGAAGGACAACAGCAGAACACACCACTGATAGATAACAATGCTGAAGCAACACTCTCTCTTGACTCAAAGGTCATTTGAAGCCACTATTTATAGAGATTGCATTTAAGCATCAAAAGGGAGCACAAAGACTTTTCCTCGAGATGCTTTGCATAAAATATCATTTTGTTCATTCATTCTAAAGTCTATTTAACTCTATAGCAGCATGCTTTCTACTAAAAGGGAAGTGCTCTGCATAAGGCATAACATATATTTAATGAGAAATCCAGCTTTTAAAGTAGCAATTTAAAAGTCTAATAGACATTTAAAAGATTGAAGCACATAATAAAATGGAAGAGAGTGTAGGATCCAAGTGCACGGTGAATAAAAGTCTAATCTTGTTACATTGAGTTAACTGAACAGTTCGGAGAAATATGCTTATTTGCTTTATAGCAGAGGGTTAGATGACGAGATAAATACCTAGCTTGGCACAAAAGTAGCTTTAAACAGCAAGCCCAGCTGTGTCCACAAGTAACAATAAACACCTAGCACACACAGTTTCTGGTCTTTGTGCTGAGCTAAGCTAAGCTAACCAGCTGTTTATATTCAGCATACTAACATGAAGAGAGGTGTGGGTCTTCTTATCTATTAATTAGCCTAAACCGAGTTTGTAGGAAAGTATGTGTGGAAGCATGAGTAAAATGTGCGTGCATGTGTGGGTTAAGATGCATATGTGATTGTGAATAGGTAATCCAAATATTGTTTCATTTACAAGCTGAATGTTTCCCTCCACAGGTGCCCTCTGCCCCTCCTACCTACACGGGGAGGCAGCTGTGGTGAGTGAGAGGATCCGAAAGAAGATGTTTGGTAGAAAATGAAGAGGAGGATGGAGAGGGTGAGGAGGGAGGGGTCCTGGATGAGGGGCCCCGACTGGTTGAATTGGATTCCTACAGGGCCCTTTCCCTCTGACTTAAACACTGACTGCGTGCCATTTTACTGTTGTATGAGTGTGTGTGAGACTGAGAAATAGCAGGGTATGGAGGACAGAGCCAAAGCTCTTCTAGCACACAAATCTCCATAGAAGGGTTCAGAAACTTGAAATGTGGCAGCAAGTAGCAAAACGCACGCTGACTAAGATTTGAAAATATCAACCTGCAGTATTATTTTTCTTTGATTTGCTCTACTGAGACTATACAGCACTGTAAGCATCCTTGAAAAACTGTGAAATCTAGCACCTTTTCCTGCTCTCTCTCTCTCTCTCTCTCTCTCTCCCTGTCAGTCAGGATGTCCTTTCTGCTGCTCCTCAAAATGCTGACGTGGAAACATTTGGCTCTGTCCTCCATTCATCCACAGTGTAGGTTAAGACAGAGCACATGGGCAAATGTACAGCTCGAGCACCACCCGCTTTCAAATAATTTGGCCTCTGTGGGTGTGTGTGTGGAGTATACGAGAGGAACAAGAGTGTGTGTATTCCCTACATCTCAACTCCACCGCTCTGACAAACCTCCCCTCTCCAGGCTGTTATCCTTTAGGGAACACTTCTTCTTCTTCCTCCTTCTCTATCTCCGTTTCCGGTCTCACTGCACTGTCTGTGAATACAACACGTAACTCTTCTAACCTTGCCTCATCCTCCCACCTGCATGGACACTTTGCCAAATGTGAAACAAACTGTAAATCCCGAACACAAGCTCACGGCTAAAGCTGCCCGAAGCACCTGAACAGAGGGGGACGCAAGCCGCTTCTGAACTGTGTTACATGGAGTAGCGTGGATTCTGATTGGGCGAGGAGGGCGTCAGTCATTGGTGGGGAGGCCCTGCTTCCTGAATCTAGGTCAGACTGCTGTGTGCTGCTCTCCCACATCTCCGGTGGCCACTGGCGCTTTTGAACTAGCCAGGAGAAACTGTCACTTTATATTAGCAGGAAACGGAGCGAGGAAGTGAAGCGTTGCCCTGTACTTAATCTCCTCTATCTGTGTTGATGTGTGCGTATGTGTGATTTTATGATTGTCCGGGTTTGGCAGGGGGGGATTTCAAGAAGTCAAGGTTGCTTTCTGGTGCTAAATATCCCTCCACACAACATCCCAGTGTGGCACAAAAGTACAGGAAGAACAACACTGGTGCAGATGTCAAACATTTCAGTGACTGGGGATACATGGAGCTGGTGTGTGGAGATATCCTAGAGCCTTAGAAAGATCAGATGTACAGTTCAAGGTAGAAAGAGAGAGATATCAAATATAAGAGGAGGAAGAAGGGGGATGGGAGCGAGGAGGAAGGAGATAGCAAGGGCGGTCCGAGGGGAGTTTATGCGACAGTGCAAGATCTGTGTGAGAAAATGGCTCCCTGGTCTGACTGTGTGTGTTTGTGTGTGAAGTGCGGGCGACCATGCTGCTCTGCTCTATGTGGTAGTCTTCTTTATCTGGTGAAGCGTCTCCTCCTCCTCCTCCTCCTCCTCCCTCCCTGTGGTCGGCTATAGTTCGAGTGTAGCCCCGTGCCAAGAAGGACTCTGGTTTCACCGGAGTCTTCGTTTCACGCCCTTTCCTTCATCACGACACCGGCTCTCTCTCTCTTCACCAGAGAGGCTGTGTACATAGTAGTGCTGCAAAGCTTTGCTTGCTTGTTTACTTTTTCTTTTCATGACATTATAACTGTAGCCTAAGTTTAGACACCAGTGTCGTACGACCCCTTGAGAACTGACGACTGCAAACTTTTTTTATCTGAGGTATTTTTTTTAAAACTGCTTTGCTTAGTTGTTCATACATTTGGTTGTTGTTTCACTATGCTTTGGTTTCTCTCTTGCTGGTGTCTTTTTAAAAGCTAGCATTTTGGAAATGTTTTGCCATAAAATAGATATGCTTTATTTTTTGTTTAATTAATGTTCATGGAAATGATGAGTTGTCTTATAAAGGGATTTATGTCAGTTGTACCTCCTGCAATATTCTCAGTCAAGTCCTCTCTTCACTGTAACAGTTACAGGGATATAAACATACTTCTTTTTATTTTTTTTAGAAAAATGACTATGGCTGTGAATATTTTTGGCACTTCATGCAGTAAACCATGACTTATTCTGCAATATGAATATGTTGAGGATAATCAATAAAAAAAAGGGTGCTGAACATTTGGTGACCCTTGGTGTCACAGTAGATCAACCCTCGACTAGGAAAAGCCAAAGGGTACACCCCAGACTGCTGCTGTAGGCTAGGTCTTACCCACTGGCTATTCTAAAATGGGATTGGTCCCAGCAGGCCAGCTCCATGCCCAAAGAGAGCGTGTCCTGCTCCTTCAGGCTCTGTTCGGGCCCACCCTGCGTCTTAGCTCATGAAGAAGAACTATCCTCAGGGTTTTGGATGGTCAGCAGTAACAAGATAAAACTCTCAACATTAAGAGCGGAGGGGGGAGGTGTTAGTTCTTGTTGTTTTCACTCAATGTGAAGTACAAAAAAACAAAAAAAAACAATAATACCATGTGACTTTGTAGATTTTGCACTTGTCGACTACCTATCTGTGCATGCTTATCACCATTTCTACATGTAAGACCTTTCTCAGACGTACTTTTGAATACTAACTCTATTTATGTAAAGGTCATGTGACAGCAATCATAATTTCAGTGTATATCAGATGACACATTTAATGTCTGTGCTTTCTTAAACACTAAAGAGAGCTGGCTCTTGAGAAGCAAAAAGATTAAAGTCAGGGGAAATGGTCCAAAATAGTATGATTCCCCAAAAAGGAACAAAATGCCATCTCTACTGGACCTAATAATAACTTCCTTGTTAGTTTGAAGTCTAGAGGGGGGAAAAAAGAGAATCTTCTGACTGGTATCGTCTCTGTGTTTAAAATCAAATAGACTGTGGTGAAATTTGCACAAAACCTCTATGTTAAGTTTGTCATCCCTGGGCAGCCCACTGAACACTCATCCTGGGTTTGACTTGTCCTTGCCTGTCCTCTCCTGATTTGTCTTGCCTTCAGACTGTTCCAGCGAGGCAGCTGACAGGGGTGATATTGGTTTTCACAGCTGTGACTGTGCGGTGACGCAGCATGCCTATGTATAGAACTTGATTCCTCTAATTAGAAGAAAAAAAACAGTTAACTCTTGTTTCTGTAATTGAATCAGGAAAAAAATAAGTTCAATAAAAGTGTCATGTTTGTAGTTAACTTTTAACTGGCTGTTGTGTTTTTTTTTTCTTTTCCAGGTGTTTATGTGTTGCCATATGATAATTATGAACAGTGTGGAAAAAGAGCTATAATGAGAGTGATACAGTAGACAAATCGTCACATATTTGTTTTTTCTAAAGAAATCCAAATGCATTTTTTTGCTAAAGATGTGTTATTTATGTTATAAAAAGAACTAGATGGTCAATGAATTTGGCAGTGCTCCATGTTGGATAAAAAAAACATTTTATTGATTTATTTATTTTTAAATCAAAACCCCCATACATTAATGAAACATCCAAACAAAAGTCCTTTTAAGATTAAAAAAAAAATGTCATCGTTTAATATTGAAGGGATAAGTCATGTATTTATGAAATACTTTTACTTTTACTAACAGTTAGAGCTTAAATGAGAAAGTTGAAACCACTGTCAACAATTCGAATGCTATCAAAATTCAATAATATAAGTAATAAAATATCACTGACTCTCAGTATACAGTAAGTAATAAACACATTTTCTTTGAAGCTGCCATAATAAATATGTTTCATATGAGTCAGTTGAAATGTGAGAGGAGAGAGAATCATCGCCTGAATCTGCAGCTCTCCTCGGCTTAACAGTGAGGTCTAGTTCGTTGTTTAGCTGCCTGGGGCACAAATTTAATGTTTTTAGTTTATAATAATAGAGAAAAAGCAGGTATCGATTGTCAAAGCAGTCATATTTTCTTCTGTCATCCAACAACTGATTAGTTGAATAATCTTTGCAGCTCTAATCAGTGTATACATTTAAGGCCACTCAGGAATACACTGTGTGTAATTACGTTTCATTTTACGCTTCCACCTAAAGCCAGAAATGGCAGCCCGGAGCCAGTTGTTTCCAGGCTCTGACAGCCTGGTGCCCGATCCCTCCTGCTGCTGTGTGATCCAGTTTCAGTCGGGCAAAGTGCTGCCAGACTCTTTGGAGCTGGCTGCACTATCAGATATCCCCAGAATGAAATGGACTGTTTTATCACTTTACCCAGAGGCAGCTGTCTCCCAGGCATCCACATACCTGCAGAGGGAGATACATGACCCTCTTCATGCCTCGGTGTGAGGCGGTGTGCATCAGTGACTGGGATGGTCAGGAAATCCGTCCATCAGGAAGTCGCCGCCTCGCTGCTCTGCAGAGACACTGGAGGGGAAGCCACAAGTATCCTCTCAGGTGCGTGATGGAAATATGCCAGGAGTGCACTTTGTTCACTCATCAGATTATAACGTCTCCTCCTGATGTGTCAAAAAATGCCTTTTAAGTTGCCATGAAGGAGACACGCAGTCTTTTTCATCCTGAATCTTTATTCGAATCGGATTTCATGAACTTTCCATGGCTCATATGTGACATTTAAGATGGCGTTTGAATGCTACCAGGGATAAAAAAAAAGGTCTGCTAAAGGTGATGGCGTCATCAGTGGCGAAATGCTAAACGTTTAACCTTTAGCTACATCTAGAAAAACAAATAAACTAAACTAATTACAACGAGAGGTGTTAGAGGTGTGTCAGGAGATTAAAAAAACAGGGCAATTATTGCTTGTGAAACAGTAACTGTACGATAACTGTCAATCGCCCACCCTCCTTTTTTATTCTCTGTTTCCCTGACAGGGTCATTTCCTTTCCTGATAAACAGGATAGAAAAGTGCTGCTCTAAACGCTGACTCACCTTTCACTCTGGCCTCAATTCCTGGCTTGAATGGAAACGCTATAACTTCTTTTGTGCAGTTATATTTATTGCAAATGAAAAAGGAAATGACAAGTCAAGGAAATAAATGTGATTATCTTCCAGTGAGCTATCAGCTAGAGGTGACACAATATGAAGTCTGTTACGAGAGACTTCTCTCCCGACCGTAATAGCCTAATATGTGAACCGTACTACATGTGGTTAATCTGTTAAAACAACTTGTGAGTGGAAGTGATCCATCGAAAAGGCAATGAAAGCAATCAACTAATTAGATACATAGGCTACCTCTGACCATAAATCCCTGCACAGCGTGTCCAATTGGTTACAGTCGTTTTTTAATGGCTTGTTTCAATGATCACTTTGCTCGGTTTGACGTCAGCCTAACAGAGGTTTATAGCTTTTAATCACCAGGAAAGCCTTGTTCACGGAGCTAATCATTTCAGTTAACAATGCCACCAGTCCACGTTGTTCATGTTTCTAGTTAAAGGGAGGTGCAGTCAGGGATTTTTCACCATGCATGGATACAGCCAGGAAATCGGTCACTGTTGAGGAGGCCATCTTCTCCGCACCGCGCAGGCTGGGGGTCAGCCACTCGATACCGTCAGGGGTCATCTGGGGGGTGGGGGTGTGGACCACGGTGCTCTGCGGGGTGGGGGAAACCACCTGGATGGACACATCTGAGTCGCCGGGCTGGGGTCTTCCCGGAAGATTTGTCATTGCAGAGCCAACTGGAGACAAAGAAGAAATGCATCCTTAAAGGTTCCATAAACATAACTCAGACAAACATCATATTTGCAATGTAAAGACACAGTGGAGCAATGGCTACCTGTGTGTGGGGTATTTTGAGTTCTTGTGCTTTGTTTACATTGACGTTGTGAGTGTGCAGCCCATAAGAAGAGTGCATGCGAGTCTCTCCAAGTTCCCAACTGGTCGCGCTAATGGCCACGGCTTAATAGCATCATGAATTGTTAACACCACTATTTTTAGAAATCTAATTCTACTGTAAGCCTCTTTTCTTTATTAAGTACAATACTCTGGTGTGTGAAGGCATAACACATATTAGTAAAATGTAATTGGAACATTAATATAACTGTAATTTTATTATTATTAACATTAAAGGTCACCTATTATACAAAATCCATTTTTTCATGTCTTGAATACATAAACATGTGTCCCCACTGTGTAAAGAGATTCTGAAAGTTTCAGGGAAAAAGATTCTCTCACTTTTTGTCCTGATCCATTTATATAAAAACCTGTCTGGAAATGAGCTGATCAGATTTTAGCCACTTTATGATGTCATAAAGGTTTTTTGTCTTATGTAACCATTAGCCAATCACCAACAAGGTAACACCCCCCCGCCATATCACCGGAATGTCCTCCTAGAGCACCATTGTGTTTTGTTAAACCAAATATCTCTCAGAGGGGCGTGGGGAGTGGCACCTTATTTTCAAGTAACAGACCCAGAATCAGCACTTTTGAAACAGGGCTGAAACAGAGGGGATTATGGGATGCTACAATGATCTGTTTGGTATTTTGAGCAAAACACTTCAGAGACATGTGTTGTATATATCTGAGACTTCTAATATATTGATGAAAAATACTTTAATAGGGGACCTTTAAATTATTACTTTTACCAAGAGGTAAAAAGGGGATTTCAGAGGCTGGCTAAATACTCTGCTAGCTAACAATTATGTTAGCTTGGACTGATGGTACGTCAGGCTTCAAGTCAAGGACAGTCATTCATTGATTCATGAGATGTTGAGAGCTGCACCTGCCCAATGAGCCGTGACCTCCGACCTTGAGGTCTCACCATGTGTCTGCTCTCTGGGTTACTTTGCTCTTTCCCCCCTTTTGTTTTCCTCTCCGTCTCTGACTAATTCTGATTACAGGCTGTGAAATGTGAAATGACAGAAGAGGTATCGCTTGCTGGTCTCCTCGGGTCAAATGAGACGAGTGCAGCTGTTGTAGCTATATCGACTTAAAGAGCATCTATACAGTAGGGGGGGCTCCCCTAAATAATTCTCTCACTCACTCACCCCCCATGTACCACAGCCTCCGTCCCACTCATGGGTCATATCATCTGTCAGTGCTGAGGGGTAGTGCTTGCATCATTACAAACAACAGCAGGCGAAACCAGCAAACCAACTGCAACTTCAGCACCAAACTCCTCCGCTAGCTCACACATTTCTATTTCTTTCTCTCATCCATTTCAGATTCTGTTGAAGGGATCAGTTCTGTTCACGACGGTCTGGGCAGACTCTCTTTTCAACTCATACATTCTCTTACAAACACAAACATCCCCAGGCCCCCTGCAAAAATGTAAGGTCAGCAGTAGTGGTGCAGCAGGACATAGCTCAGTAAGCGGCAGCAGCACAGCGCGGCAGAGCAGAGATAGCCTTTGTTGTGAGGAATGTGTCAGCGTGGAAGAAACCTGTGTTTATGGTGGTGTCATTGTTTGTGGGTGACAAAAACAGAGGTGCTGATAGCGACACATGGCGTTAGTGTGCAGGTTGGAGTGTCTGTTCATCATCGTCTATACTGTACGCACATTCATTTGAAGCACCCTTAATAAATATTTTTGGAGTCATATAACAACTTTAGTGTGAACGTTGTTTCTGGTAGTGGCAAACTCTCAAAGTATTAACACCAGAGTACAGTCCCACTCGGTTTACATTACAATTCCTCATACAACTGGTCGTGTGATATCTTACAACTATTACCTTATATTGTTATTTTTTGTGCATTCCCATTCTCGAGCGTTGCAGTGCAGTGCAGAGTTTTGGCAGCAATACTACTTGATCAGATAAACAAAAAGATCAGGGTTTGGGTTTAAACAAGTATGTTTGGAACATAACTTACCTATCGGAAATTAATTAAGTTTCTATGTCATGTAACAAAGGTAAGATAAAACAAGTTTACAACTCTACATGAAGTTTGTTGTTTTTCAATATGTGTGTTGGTTTGTATGGCCCACAACTTTGCTGTTTGAGTCACTCTGCTCCCTCTCATAGTGTAATTGCTCGGCTGGAGAAGTCCACTTGCTAACTAGTTTTCATGCACTTTTAGAACACATGGCGTTACATTGTTACAATAGATGACATGTGTGGAAAACATGTTAGCAATGCTAAAGCTAGCATTATATGCTTATACAGTATATTCATGTTTAAGAGGTATAACGCGACCATTTGCTAATTAGCACAAACCACAACTGAGGGAAATGTCATTCCTTTTGCAGGTGTTAGTCATAAATCAAACCTCATTGTGGCGCTTGAGGCAAAACATTTAATCACAATCCATCCAATAGTTGTTGAGATATTTCCAAGTGTTTGACCCACAATGCCATCCTTCGAGCTAAAATCAGCATCAAAACAGTATCTGTTAACCTCAAGAATCAGGAGGAGGACTTTCTGATGGCAATCATGTGCACAGAGTACCAAAGTGGGTGTGTGTGTGTGTGTGTGTGTGTGTGTGTGTGTGTGTGTGTGTGTGTGTGTGTGTGTGTGTGTGTGTGTGTGTGTGTGTGTGTGTGTGTGTGTGTGTGTGTGTGTGTGTGTGTGTGTGTGTATTCAAGGTTAAAGATAAATCACTCCTCAAACTGGACATGGGCCTGCATTCTCAGCTGCTCTGCTTTGTCCTTCATGTGTGCATACAGCACACACACACACACACACACACACACACACACACACACACACACACACACACACACACACACCTCTGTCTTCATCTTTATCCCTCTTTGCTCTGTCTGTATCTCCTCTAATTCTTCAAATGTACTGTATCCTCTATCTCTCCATCACTCACACACACCCTGCGCCCTGCAGACATTTGCTTTTCTCTACTTCACTTTCAATCTTCTCAGTCTTTCTGCGACTCACTCTCCCCGTCTCCTTCTTATTCTCTGCCCTCATTCTCTCTCTCTGTGTCATGCTCTCCTTATCGCTCTGCTTTAACTCCAAATTCTCGTGTGGATGAATACTGTATCTGCAGTTTATACGTGTGAGTGCTTGAGACTGTACTGTGCACCAGCTGATATATGTGTTTGTGTATAGTGTGTATAGTGTGTATACTGTGTATAGTGTGTATAGTGCTGTATGGGGTAATATCCATGGCTTTAAAGCCTGTCTGTGTGGATTCTGACGTGTTCTGGCATCCTGCCTGCCTATCACCAGCCCTTTGGCACCATGAGAAAATAAAAGATCAATAGTATTGTGTTGCCTGAGAGCCTGGCATTCAGTGATACCGTGTGAGTGTGAGTTTGTGTGTGTGTGTTCGCTCTTACCTCGGCTCTCTCGTTGGGCCCAGAACTGCGCGACAGTTTTGGCGATGTCACGGTTCTCTCTCAGTTCTTTCTGCCACTGGCGCAGCTCCTGCACATCTGGGCGTGACCTAATCTATAACAAACAAAACAACAAATTGACATAAGCAAACTTTGCCAATAAGTTAATTAGGCTAATCAGTGTCAGTAAGCTGACAGTGTTTTCCATTCGAAGAGTTAGTTAGTTGATAAATCCTTCTGTTCCTGTATGGAAGTTAATGTGGCTCATTTACTGTGAATGTGGACACCACAACCTCCACCCTCCATCATGTTCAAAAATACACATGGTAATGACAACTACAACACAAACGAGCAACTCTTAAATCATGTTGGTTTCTTTCAGTTCACACAAAGCAAAGTGAAGGGTGAATGTAAAAGATATAATTATATATTTGTGTTGTAAATCTGATATTGGGACGGCACTACTATGTACTTTGCTATTTTCAGGTCACATCTGTGCAGCAGACCCTAACTAACCCTAACTTCAGATCCTACTGTTCACAAAAAATAGTAGGGGTAAAAAACGTAAACATGATATGCTCAGCCATCATTTCAGTTGTCAGCTTATATCAGGAAACAGAATCAGAAGCAACTTTAAATTCCTTTTCAAAAATCATCTTTTTAAAGAAGCTTTTATACAGACTTATGTCTTGTTTTCTACAATATGTATAATTGTCTTTTTATCTTGTGGTTTTTAATCTTTTGTATTTATACTTTTGTTTGCCTGCTTTTCATAATTCTATTTGTAAAATGTTTTAATCCGAATTCTCCAATGGGAGCTCCCATGCTTTGGGTAAACCCCTGTAGTTATTGTGTTTGTTTGGACACTGCTGGCTTAAACAGACTTACTGCGTTAGATTTCCCAGAAGAGTTTGCTTTCCTTTCTTTATCTCCTCTACTTACAACCATTCCTCCCAGTAACTCTGCTTCTTCCCTCTCCTCTTCAGTACCCAGGTGGACTTCTTCGTCTCCATATACTCAACGTGACACTCTCTCTCAAACCAACACCTTATTTTCCTCTGATTCTCCAGCACATTTCAGTTATATCTCTCTCCTCTCCCCTCTGTTTTTCTCTCCCATCTTGTTTTCTCAATTACTCCTATCTTTCCATTTTGCTGCTTGAATGGCCACAATGTTGATGCTATTAGCAGTGAGTATGAAAGTGGGCCTGTTATATAAGCCTGTCGATGGGTTCAGGAATGGGTAAGACGAGTGGGCTCCAACAGTTCATTCACCGGGTGTCACAGTGCCGCAGCAGCCCCTCTGCTGATGGGAGCGAACCATAGACATGGAAATGAAGGGTGAGGGTCAGGACGGGTGGGGGTTGGAGTCTGTCGTGTTTGTTTCTGTGTGGCCATTTCTACTCTGTCAGTCTTCCTCTGTGCCCTGCAGAAACCATGTACCTCCATTTCTTCTTCTGTTGCTGTCAGCTACTGAACAATGGAACATTTTCACAGCGAGAGTCCCCAGGACATAAAGATTTGCAATGTGCCACACAAACAAAGACAACATTTAAAAAGTCAACGTTCTTAGAACGCTGACTTTTCAAATACATGCTTTCTACACAAGTTTGCCAGTTTCCTTGTGATGGCACGAGACAAAAAACTGAGTGCTTGAGCGTTTGAAGCCTACGCATGCATCAGTACAGCTGATTACACCAAATGTATTTATTTTCTAATGTATTCTTCCTGGTTTGAAGCATTCATTAATCTACCATAATACAGTATCGTGTTGCTATGATGATCAACATCGCTGCACACAACACTGATGCTTGTATGGTTTGGGATCAGAGTGATTTGAACAAATTGTAAAGCATTGCAAGCCTGCCTGCATAACCACACAAAAACACACGTGTTGAGGACACAAAAGCAAAAAACGCTAAAAATAGGGACTCCATCTTCTCCTATCTCCCAAAGCCAGCAGCCCACGCTCAACACATAACCATAAAACTGCGTTGAACCATGCAGTGTCACAAACGGTGCACCCTATGCCCTTTTTCTCACACACTTCAATACCGCTGCACAGCCTTTCAAGCTGCATTCCCTTTTTGTGCAAATGTGCCTGTGAGAGCGAGCTCCTCTCCCAGTCTCACACTCTGCAGCAGCACAATGGCTTCTGTTCAGAGGAACTGGCTGCAGTCACATCACCAGACACACTGACAGGCTGCATAAAGACGGACACAGCCACCACAGCCATCTACATCTACACCTCACCCCCCCCCCATCCACCCACCGATCCATCATCTTTTTTGTTTGACGATGAGGCTTCCATCAAGGTTTACCCAGCGGAGGAATGATTCATGATTCAGGCAAAGGAAGTGGTTGCACTGTAAATCAACCGTTTGTAAGAACAAGACCTAAACAACGTTATGTATTACGGATGATAGTGGATATTACAGGAATAGGAATTGGCCTTTCGTGTTATGACCAGTCCATCATATTCAGGGGCAGCGGGCCCCTACAGCCCTTCTGCAGGAGGGGGAGGTAAGGACAAACAGAACAACCAGCTACTAGAATGACATCTTTTCTGTGTCACTGCACGTGGCCAAGCACTGACTTAACACTGGACCTCAATTCAAACCATTCATCACTGCTCTGGGATCATTCAGCTGGAATCGAAGACCTAGTTCTGGCTTTGTGTGTTTGTCCGTGTGTGTGTTTGTGTGTGTGTGTGTGTGTGTGTGTGTGTGTGTGTGTGTGTGTGTGTGTGTGTGTGTGTGTGTGTGTGTTTTGAGTGTGTGTGCATATGTGTGCAGTAGCAGGCAAGGATGAATGGATTAGTGTTGAGCTAATGCACACGGTGTGAAGAAGATTATGTAATATGTTTAGATCCAGCAGCTCTTCATAGATGTACATGGGAGAAACAAGAGACAGTCATATTGTCTAGGTCAGACACGTGATTTAGTGCTGTGTGTGTGTGTGTGTGTGTGTGTGTGTGTGTGTGTGTGTGTGTGTGTGTGTGTGTGTACACTATCTCTATCGCTGCTCTTCCCATGAATACACACGCACACTCCCATGGATTCACACGCACACACACCCTCTGCAGTCAGCCTTGCGTCAGGCAGGTTATATAACGGCAGAGAGTGTAAGAGTGGGGGGAAATAAGAGGGTGTGTGGAGGGGATGGGGTGGAGAAGGGTATTTTAATGGAAGTAGAGATGTGCTAATCATAACATTAAATATCTTTATGTTACAATATTTTGTGTAATATTTAAAAAACACACAGAAAACTTATGAATGATTGAGTCATGTTTTTTAGTGTTCAAAATCTCATAGTCCTATTACACTCCTATTAAAACCTCAAAATATCTCAAGACCTTACAAAGTAGGAGAGATTATGATCACTTCAAATCCAATCTGTGAGACAATATTTTGATATGATCAGAATTGTTTAGACGGATTAGGTTTGGATAATAAATGATATCACACGCTATTTGCAATACACATACAGTACACATTCTCACACTAGCAGACACACACAAAAGGTGTTCGAAAAAAAAGGAACTAATAACTTTTACACCGGTGTTTCACAGATGACTTTTTGTGCTGATGTCCTCTGCTCTGCTGCCCACTGAGCTGTAAACGGCTGTTTTCTCAAGCCAAGGTAACAGCAGCAATGTAACACTAAAACGCTTGTCAGGACTTCGCCCCAGTGCCTACCCAAAATATCTCCACCCTGTGTACTTTGAATAAGTCATGATCTGAAGGAGCAAACCCTCATTTCAGACCCTGAATGTGCTGCGTTCACAGCCTCCCTGCGCTTCCCAGAGGCTCCATCTCTCTGCCTACTTTTAGCCGCCACAGATTTAGCTAAAGCTGCATTTCCCTCATCCATAACCCATTCCTAATCCGAAGCCACTCTGAAACATCATCTTGCCTCTCTTCTCTCTTTTGTTGTCCATCTGAAAATGTTCCTAATATAGCCTGAGCTTCATCCTTTTGGATATATCCTCCCATTCTCTCACTTTTCTCTCCTCCTGGCTGTCTCTCTCCCTCTAAATCCCTTGGGGTGCTGAGCTGCAGTGTTATCAGCGGCCCCACTGAACCTCTCTTTGGTTTAGGGTAAACACAGTGAGCAGGGAAAGGGGGCCGGCGCACTGCTGCCACCTAATGTGAGCGGAGACCAGTACGATTTATTTAGCTTTTTTTCTGTTACAGAAACAGAAGAGGAAGTGTTGCCCCCTACTGGTGTGCAAGTACCCAAACATGGACGCATGCACAAACACTACATCTTTCGTGCGCATACCCTCAAACACACCATGCAAAACTGTTCAGATCACTCAAACAGAATGTAATAATATGTGACAGCACAGCTGGCATCTTTTCCTCTCAATGGTTTGTGCAGAAACGCTAAAGTTCAATCCTCCAACAAGCACGAAGGGTAGAACATGAAAAATAAGCTTCATATAGAGAAACATGACCCCTGCTTTCATCCCTACAGCACACAATACTTGGTTTATTTGTGTACGAGTATGAAGAAACTGCTGCTGTTTGTTTAGTTTCTGTTTGTGTCTATTTATATCACAGCACTGAGTACTCAGATCATGACACCCACACAGGAAGGAAATAAATCCCAGCATAGCTGATGACATAATCAAGCTGCTGAATGAAATTGCAGTCCCTGTGCAAGCGGAGCCTTTCAGCAGGATGGGATTATACAACAAGAACGCACTGTTGGCCAATGCACATGCAGTATAGTGCCTATTGTTTGTCAGGAGATCAGACCCACACACTTGCAAGCAGCAGACTTGCTGTGGTGTATGGAGTTATTGCAGGCTTCAAGCTTTCTACTTCTAAATTAAAATGTCCTTTGTTTTTAAAAGTTTTTTTTATTAATTAGATTTGGTAACTGAAAACAGGAACTACTGAGGTTGAGTATAAATATGTCAAGTTATAGGATATTTTTCCCAGGCTTTTGAGTGCATTGCTATATCAAGTTATTTTATAGTGTACCTTGTATCCCCTCCAGAAAGCCTGGATGAGCAGAGCAGCCTGATCCTCGCTCAGCAGGAGAAACAGAGGGACAGGAGGCCTGGGACTGATGATAAAACAATTGAAAATCATTAGAACATATAGTATGTATCATCGTTGAATGAGCATGTTTGTCTTACCTTAGTGTTCACATAATTATTTATCTTGAAATTATTGTTTGCTTTATACTTTAGCCATGTATCAAACCGGTAACAATGGAACAAAAAAAAAAGGCCAAAGAATAATGTCTATAATTTCTTGAAAAAACAATACATTTGGAGGTTACAACTGTAGTGTATGTGTGCGTGTGGTTTGGAAGACACTCACTTTTTTTGAATCCAGTCCTTCACAAAGGGGATGTCATGGAAGTTCACTGGAACCTGTTCTCGCCTGCGGGGGTTTTGACTGAGGATAAAGGAGGAGAGGCAAAGGACCACAAAACAAACATGAAACCCAATCAAAATGATGAAATACATGAGTGAAAATAATATAAACATTGAGGGTGTGTGTATGTTGTCTCTTACTTGTAGAGCCACTCAGTCAGGAAGTCACACGGGTTAAATGCTGTTCTTTCCCTCTGCAACACAAAAGAAAGTGATAGATGCCATGCACCATGCAGAAGTAGTATTTAGGACTACTTTGTTTTTAATTAGCAAATAAAATACCAACTACAGCTGTGAAATAAATGTGGTGAAGTAAAAACTGCAACATTGCCAAGAATAAACTAGCAGAACATTTAAAACAGCCAAATAAAGTACAGGTTCTTAAAAACTGCACTTAGTGCTTGAGGAAATGATGTCCATTTTACCATATCTATTCTAAGAGACAATGCAATCAAACATATTCATAATTTGTTACCCAAGTTTTAATTAGACTAATTTGTGGTAAAACATTTATCAAAAATAAATACAGACCTCCAGGCAGCCACGCTTCCGTGCTTCTGTCAGCAAAGCTTCCAGTCCAGGCAATAACACCGGAAACACTCTCTGCTCCAAAAAATGAGAGACAGGACCTGACACACACACACACACACACACACACACACACACACACACACACACACACACACACACACACACACACACACACACACACACACACACACACACACACACACACACACACACACACACACACACACACACACACACACACACAAAATTAAATGTCTGTTGCACAGTGTTTTTCTCCCTGTGCAGTCTGGTTTTAATCCCTCTTTCATAACTTCTCCTTTACCTCCTTTTACCTTACGGTTTTATTGGGGTGTTTTTTCTTCTTGTATGTATATCTTTGTAACTGTTTTGAAAAATGCTTAACAAAACAAGTTTAATATGATCATCATCTTACTTTTATGTAGTTGTGGAGGCATCATAGCTTCAGCTGCAGGGGGACGCTTCATTTTTGAAAGACAAGGTTTTCCTAACACAGAGTAGCCAGGAAGAGCAGGGTGGCAAAGCAGAGAGTCAAAGTCTCTGAGAGGGTCATCGTCCACACACACCTATTGAAAACAATTCAGTTCAGAGGATGCCAGTGTGACAGGATGGAAACTAGTCAGCCACAGAGATGAAGAAACTAAAGGGTGAGCTGACCTTGGCTGCGGGGAGTCCACAGAAGACCGGGGAGGGTTTACTGGCGCTGTACTGGGAGAGGTTTGTCCCTGAACTGCTTTCTGTCCACAAAGCACTGGGAGGACTGGGATGCTCCGCTTCAAACTCTACAAAAACACAAAACATATGCCATCATTTGACACCATTTACTTAAAAAAAAAAAAAAAGCTTTGATTCTCCCCCCTTACTCCGGTGTTCCTGGTTCAATCTAGCACCTAATTTTTTTTCGAACACCCTTTTAAGCTGTGAACAATGTCTCAGACTACTGGTTTACATGAATAACTGCAGTAAATATACAAAGAATAAACACTTAAAATGTGTTGCAAAATGAACATGGTTGTCGATTTGTTGGTGTGTATCTGTCTGATGGATGAAAAATAATCTAGGGATATGTCCAATCATTTCCTATGACTAGGAACATCGAAGGTGTCACAGAGTTGACTAAAACACTAAAAAAGACATGTGGTGATCAGCAAATATGTTCAAATGCCTGCTGTGGAGAATATCATGAGGTCTTGAAGCAACAACATATAAAACACAATAGTTGATTGATGAAAGGAGTAAATCGGTTAGATTTGACCAGAACACGACAGGAGGTTTGAACAAATAAAACACGGTTGGCTTACCTTCACAAACTTGTTGCCAAAGTGATTTTTTGGAACAGATAACATCTGCCATTATTCCGCCTGTTAGCTCCAACTGTTGCTATGGACACGCTAGGTTGCTAAGGAAGTCGTCATGCTGATGACTTCCGTTCATAAAATAAGAGCAGTAGGGCTGGAAGATAATGTTCAACAAACAGGTGCTCAAAGCTGTAAACAAACATAGTAATAACTAAAGCAATACCTGTAAACAGTTCCTGGTATAAACACACGATGTCTCACCGAACATTGATTCAAATGCGTCAACCTTTAGTCTCTAAATGAACTAGTGTTTTCAATACCTACGGGATATTGACACTTCTCGTGCACAATGTGTAATACATTAGGCTGACGTAGTTGTAAACTGTAGATTAAAATGTACCGGAACGGAGCAATTCATGGAAAACAATGTGTGTATTTTAAATACATTGTTCCGGTGTTCGCCGCTAGAGGGCAGCATACATATAGAAATTGATTGACAAAAGGCTTTACCTTACGAAGAAACAAAATAATTATTTTTACATTTGGTTTAATATAAACTACTAATAATAAATTAGTTTTTAATTACCTGTATCCTTCACTAGTTAATTGTCTGATGTCAGCGTTTTGTGTAAATTCTCTCTGTTATGTGTGAGTGATATTGCTTAACCATACATTTATAGTTATTAACCCTCTTGTGCCTGTAAGAAACATGGAAACACTCCTTGAATTACTAGATTACACATTCATTTAAAATAATCGAGAAGCCAGTTTTTAATCAAGTATTTAACCATTTTAAATTAGTAGATCTTTGGCTTCACAGCGCAACTCATCAAACACCATAAGCTAATAGTTAAAACTGTAATTGTTATTTTATAAGGGATTTTTGTTTCATACCACTTTGTCATTTTGTATTTAGTTGTTTCTTTTAGTTTAGCCATATTATATTACTGATGGGCCATCATTTTGTGCTATTGTAGCAAAAGTTCAGTCCTAAATGATGTCACATCTTTAACTATCAGCTTTAAACAAATCATTGACCAAAAAAAATAATATTGCAATGCAAAACACGTATTTCACGATGATCAAAATGCAAGACATATCCTTTGCTGAAAGAGCATAGCAATATTAGTCTTTCTTTAGTCATTATTATATTACTCAGAGAAGTTCTTCAAAATTAAAATCTTTATTGGAATACATTCCAAAGCAGTTAAGTCATCTCATGACTGAACAAAAATAGCCATTTATCTTTAAAAAAAAAAAAAAAAAAGTCCCAAGATGCTTCCAAAATGCACTGAACAGCTTTTGACAAAATATACATCGCAGTAAGTCACATCTTGCCTTCACTAATTGACTTGTTAATAAATAATATTGTGAACATAACATTTTTTTATACATAACAATTTATACTTCCCCATGTTTGGAACCAAAATTAATGAATACATACACCCTCAATTTAAAAAAACAAATTCTGAAGACCTGTGCCACAAGCATTTCTCTCACAAGTCATGGCAGTGCATCCTTCGACATCCAACCCCCCCCCAAAAAACTAAACAAAATAAAGGAAAACAACACGATGAGTAACAGTAGAAATCATGGTAGTAATACATAATAATTGTAATAATTATGAAAGGATGATTTTTTTATAAAGCAACACTGATAAAAGCAGATATTATAAAGGACCGACTATCAACAGTAAAATATACAGAATACATTCCTTCAGGGTTTCAGAATAGAGGAGCCCATGTGAGGAGGACGTTTAAAACTGAGCTAGAGGGAGACACAGTCACCTCTTTAGAGAATCAGGAAAGAAAAATCACACTCTTGTCTACAGGAGTAATTCAATCATTTAGCGTTCGACAGCAAGATGTTTAAAGCTAAATTACAGTCTTTAGTTAGCTTTCGACATCTGTCATTAGTATTTTGAGATCCAGGCACAGGACCCAACGCCTTCATACCTCATGTAAATCCAGGATGCATTTACTTTACAAGTTAGGAGAATGGTTTGGGAAGAGTCACATCATGCAAGGGTTCATCCTGGAGTCCATCCATAACCATACACATATCTTGTCTAAATTACAAAGTGAGGATCCTCCTAAAACAGCTCAAAGCTCAGGTCAGTGTTGATTGCTTCTGTTGGTGTGAAGTTAAAGGATGATTTGCATCAAGCATTCACTTGAGGAGACATTCAGAGCCTGTCCATAGGCAACATGTTCAGTTCCCAAAGAAAAAAGGTTAGGTGGATGCATGGGGCCTTGAATGTAGTGAACTTTATATATCCACTGTGAGTGGTGTGCAGTTTTGAAGGTTGCCCAAACAGCTCAGGTAAAGTCATTTCAGAGACTTGACAGCAACAAAAGGAGTGACATGCCTGCACAGTGTCACAGGCAAAAGTGGCTTTGATCCTGAAAATAGTAGAGTGACAGGAAATCAGAGTTAAATATAGATGATTAAGTACAGAAACCAAAATCAGTCTGAGATGCGGCCGACGAGGAAATGGTGGACATGTGTCTATAATTCCATAAACCCCATTCTAAGCGTCCAACTCCCTGTAGGAGTGGAAGGTGCCAAGAGAGGGATGGATGTGTCCGCTCCGTGGAGCCGGTCGCCCCTAACGGGCTGATTCAGTGCAAGAGGCATTTTGACGAAAAGAGGACTAGGAGTTTTAGCTTTTTCTGAGTTTCTCTTCTTCTTCTGAAATCACTCGGTCCACATACAGGCTATCCTGCCATTCTTTAGTATTGTAAAACACATGTTCACGATTCAGCCAGGAAACATTCCTTACAATCCACAACTTCATTGTCTTCATGTCTTTCATATAAAAACGTCCACAGAGTTCTGCCGAGTCCCGTCCCCTTTGTTTAAAAAGAAGTTGGCGAGAGCTATGTACAGATATTGTGATATGTCATTTATGAGTGTGGATGGTAGTGGCTGGATCACTGAGGCCGAGGTTCTCCATGTACTCTGAAGCGGTACATGCAGGTGTATTCTGGGTGACCCCAGTTAGACAGCACGCGCACCTCTATGATCTGAAAGGCCCCGTCATTCTGCTCCTGAAAGAGAGGGGGGGGATATTCAGAACATCCTGGCAGACAATGATTTCATTTTTGATTAATAATAGGAGGCGTGTCTTAAGTTACCATAACAGGAAAGGTTTGCAGTGACTCTCCATCTTCCTCATACACGTATTGCCCCAGCAGCTTCCCTTCTTCCTGGTACTCATCATCAAGACCCTGTAGACAAACAGACATCAGTCAAAATAGGAATGTATCGGCGTGTCTAGTTGTAAGGCTTTATGTTATGTTTCTTACAAAGACAGTGAAGTTGCGTGGCGCGCTGGTGATGTTTCCAGTTGGAGACAGGGCCTTAGGGATGTGCTCCACACAGAAGGATGTGGGCAGGATCCTGAGGGACAGCCGGATCACCAGATAACCCTGAGAGCCTTTGAACGCCCAGCAGTTACCGGGGTACACATCGGGCTGAGGAGAGGAAGTGAGAGTAGAAATGCTGAAATAGGTTTCATCATAACGGCAACAAGGACTTGTGAATGAGTGTTTCTACTAAGCAATTTATTCATCAACCAAAGAGGAACCTCTCTATGATCGCAAACATTTCATTACAGGATTAAATGATAGGAACTTGTAAAAGGGTTTTGCTCGCTGCAATTATTCTTTCTCTCTAAAGAGTGGCCATTAGAATACCCCTACTGTGTGCTTTGAGTGTATCTTATGTGAGACAAAAGCCAATATGGTGCTTAAGCAGTCTGTGTAAGTCAAAGCAAAACTCTTTCCTTGCTAAAAGCAGGAAGGAGAAATGACAGCATAAAAGGCTTTAAGGAAAGCTTTCAAAGTTCACATGAGCACCTTGCCATTGTTTTAAGAAAACAGTGAAAAACTGCATTAGTGAAATAAACATTACTCCCATGGAGTCCTGGTGGCACTCACCTGGATGACGACCCGTGGAGACTGGGAGAAGTACCAGAGAGGCAGGCCGAAAAGACTCATGAGGGCCGTCTTGGTCTCATACGTCTCAGAGCAGCGAGTGCTGAGGATGCTGCCACCTGAAAACACACAGGAGACGGGAGGAAGTGTCAATTTGAATGTAGAACTTTATTGTGTAGTTATACATAGTGGAAGTTGATAGTCCATCATACTGCACACTCCGCTTGGGTGTATGGTTCCAACTGCGCCAGCATCTTTATCCTTAAAGCCATCTGTCAACATGTCCTTACATGACTGCACAGTTCTCCTTTATTATGGGCTTCAACCCCTGGCTTTTACTTCTCATAAAGGAGAGAGACTCATACAACAAACTAACTGTTAGTAGCTTAACGGGAAAGCATACGCCCAAACATCACGTTGCCCTGCCTGAAATAAAGAGCTCCTTTTTAGAATACTCATTGCCCTTTCAAAGTGTGTACAATATCAGCGTGCTGTTATATTATCAATATGTCACTTTCAAAAAATGGTCTCAAAACGAAAACAATATTGCTTATGCAGGGCTCAACGCTAACTTTTAAAAGTGGTTGCCAGGCTGGCAACCAGGCATCAGCTTTTGGTTGCCAAAACTGAAAATACAGTTGCCATTTTTAGTCACCTTATATTTTAAATAATTAAGATACTATACAGTTACTTAATAAACTTAATTAACTTAATAATGAAAATGTGACAAAAGAATGTTCAAATGCTTTACAATAAGTAATTAACACAATTATTTGAAACTAAAGTGGTAGTAAACTTGTCCACCCTCAATTGCTGGTATACAAAATACCAGTAGTGCAGCTGTTGTCATGTTCTTCACAGATCCCTCACAAAGGAATTGAGCAAGTCACTAGTTTCGTCATCCGTTGTCTCCCTTTCAAATGTGGGTTCTCTTGACCTTTGTGCTGACCCCCACCATAGATCCATTAGCCCTTCAGCATTGAAGTCTTGGATTGGCCAGACTAATACATTTCTAATCTTAAATAAATGAAAACCATTCACAGACAAGAATTAGATATTAATTATTAATGCTGTAAATTACCTTTAATATGTCTAACTATATTTAAAATGTGTTACCTTTTTATAGAAGTGATTATATTTGTATGCCAATATTTTCCTATGGTAAAGTTTCGTTTTGCACTTTTATTTTGGTAGTAATAAGATCGGGACTCTTATTTTGAAGGAACTTTTACCGGAAGTGAATGCACAAGATAGCAGAATGTACATATATTTCGCCTCCTAAGACTTTACACATGTCCTCTTTGCTTTTCGTTCGGGTACACCTTGCGCTTTATCAGTTGAATCACTTTGAACATTAGTTTGAGATGTTGATGGGTTGGCCGAACTTTTTACCCCACAGTCAAACAAGTTAATTTGCTTCGCCATGTTTTGTAAAACAAACGCACGGCGCACAGCGCACGCGAGTAAACGTGCATCGCTTTCTGGATCATTAATCACACCAATGCACGTGCAACTTAAGTATCAGGTTCCGACTGGTCACAACAATAATTAAATATCACTCTTAATACAACAAATAATTAACGTTTATCTATTTTGGGGAACACATTTAGCTGTTTGCTGTCCTTATTTCTTCATGTTAAAAAGTGGTTGCCACTGATGGCAACCAAAGGCCAAGAAGTGGTTGACATTTTTTCTGAATGGTTGCCAATGGCAACCTGGCAACCGTTACTGTCGAGCCCTGGCTTATGGCGATTATTTATCGTGAGAGGCCAACCTAAGTCTGCTAACATATAGTGGTTTTGAATCCCAAGCCCAAGTTGCACTATCGTAGAGACAGACCGGAAATGCAACAGGTGGTTGTGATTATATGGAGTATATCTGAATACTTACTGTGCCTCTCATGTAGGTCAACAGACTGCTCAGTAACACACCTGACAATAGAGTCAGAGCTTTTGCTGTTAATACTCTGTGGTCCTCCAGCCTGACTAATCCATGCACCCTCATTATGTAAGAGACATGCATTAGCGCAGTTCAGTTTAGAAAAAATATATACTTGTCCTACATTGGGGATCAAAGTTGAAAACATGACATCACACAAATGAGCCATTTATTGACACCCACACACACCCCTGTACAAGAACCATTTTGTGGATGCAGCCTAACTTGACTTTGACAGACAGGCTGATAGTGAAGTCAGTCTTGCTTCTTACCTCCAGACTCCAGGGCATAGTCCACCTGGCCGGTTCGGTCCTGGGAGTAGAGCCTCAAAGCGTTTTGGACAATCAGCGCCACTTGCTTGAGAGTAGACAACAACACAAGACTTACAAATTAAAGAAGAGCCTCAAACACATGGCCAATAACATTTTTTAAAGAGCTTCCCCTGCAATAAAGATGTTTCCAGTTTATGTTCATTACCTCTTTCGTCAGTCCCTCAGCAGCAGCAGTGTGCTGGACGCTCCCGCTCACGGTCTGAACGATGGTCTTGGCTTGGAACTCAGCCTCACCTAGGGTTTGAGCCCGGCTTAGCTCCAGCTGCAGGGACACGTCTTTCAGGATGCTGTGCTCCAGTGAGGAGAGGGAGACCTGCAGGTCGGGGGTGCTGACGTAGCGCTGAGACAACCAGAGGATCAGGGACTCAGGCACCTCTCCCTGCTCCGCTCCTGACCCGCCACTGCCGAAGAACAGAGCCTGCAGCTCCTTACGCACCTGGGAGGATACCTGGGAGGACACCTGGGAGGACACCTGGGCTGATATCTGGGGGAAAAGATACACAGAGAACCAATAATTAAAACAAATGGATGCCAGGAACTAAATATTCAGGAAACTGCATCACAGTGAGGGCGGAATATAGCCCAAACAGGTGTTAATAGTTGTGTTGCGTACCGTCTCTTGCAGTGTTTCCAGCTGCTCACACTTGCCCTTGCATCCCACAACGCCCTGCAGATCCTTTCTGATTTTGCCCAGCTCCAGCTCAAGTCTCTTCACCTCCGCTAGCAGAGCATCATGTTCCTCCTGCTTCACTCCCACACTAAGAGGAAGACACAGCATCTACATGTGAGCTGCCATAATCTTGAAGAATTTGCTCACAAAATGTGAATAGCGCATAATAAGAAATGCATTTCTTCTGGTGTCTGTACCTGACAGGAACCGTGTCTGCTGCTGAAGGGACAACGTCCTCCTCCTCCTTTTCCTGCTTCTCGTGCTCATACTGCTGCTGCCGCTGTTGCACCTCCTACGATAAATATCAAGAAGAGAAACTGAAGAAAGCCGAAAAAACATAGACTACAATGGCAGTTTGAATTCTCTAGGAAGAACATTATGTTTTCAATACCACGACACTGTTCCTTTGTAAACAGACCTAAAACAACCATATCTTAGCTTATGCTTTAATAATAGTTGTGTTTGTCCAATAACTTGCATATAGACTCTTATTGCACTATTTCACTTTGTAAACTATTTTTCTTTTTGTATTCACTTGCATTATATTTTTCTGTTTATCTGTGTTATTGGGTTGCACTGTTGGAGGAGCCTGTGACCTAAGATTGTCATCGTCATAACAACACTGTAGCTATGTTCGTATGACAAATAAAAACCTTGAACGTTAATATTTAGACTTCAGGCTTTGTATGACTGCCTGCAGTGTATTCTTTGTTACCGTTTACAATTAGACCTCTACTCTTTAATGAAATGTGGATTATTTAATTTAATCATGGTTAATAAGATGTTTCTTGCTTGCCTTTACTGTTTATTTGAAGATGTATATAAAAGGTTTGTATTCAGTTTGAATGATCGTGTTATAAATAAGCTATCTTGCAGACACATAGTTAAGAGGTTTTCAGTAGAAGAGCAGTGTTTCCGCTAAACGCACCCCAGTCTTGGCAGCCAGAGCAGTGAGCCACAACTCTAAGTCAGCCAGCCGTGTTGCCTGCCCCTCTTGGTGCTTCTTCTGCTGCTCAGCACTCTGCATGGAGAAGGGATCAAGAGAAAGAAAAGTGAGATACAAGTGAGCTTTTAGAGCCAAACATTGCTCTTGTAGCTCAGGACTTATCCTAATCTCTTCACCTGGGCTCTGTGTGTACTCTCCTGCTCCAGCTCTCCCCGCAACACGCCCAGTCTGTTCTCCAGCAGGGAGGACACCCACAGTCCCAGGGCCTCTCTGTCTGTCTCAGTGTGGAGATGCTCTTTCAGGGAGCTGTAGAGAGCCAACACGTCCCTGTGACTCTGATCCTGCTTATGTTCACCCTGCTGGACTCGATCCCACAGCAGGGTTAATTTGCCCTCCACACGTTCCAGGCGCTCCAAGTCAATGCTAGAGACTGCCACAGGGGGGAGGAGTGGCTGAGGAGGAGAAGATTTGGAAGAAATACAGAAAAAAGGTCACAATGTGTGGTGGCTCTAAGACGGCCCTGCATATGACCAGAAGCACAAAAGCATTACTTATCTTATTTATAAACTGTGTCTGTGTGCACTGAAGTACAGGGCAAAGCACTTTGGGCGTTTCAAATGTCTGTTAGAAAGTGCTTTAACTGCAACATACTTAATGTAATAGTTCATACACACACTCATATTACTCAGTGGCTACCAACAGTGTTTTAGCGCTGCTCGTGGTTTCATCTTACCGGTGCCTGTGAGAGCGGGGTGGCGGGGGTCTGCACCACTGGAGCCCCTGATGGAAGGACGGGGACAGAGGCAGGGGCCGGAGCTACAGCTGGCACCAAGTTAGACAGGAGGGTGATGGGAGACGCCGGACGCCACTCTGTTAGGTTTATGGCTGGGAGGTAGGCAAGTATGGCAGCAGCGGACGGACCCCAAAACCAAAACGCTGCATATAGACAACAGGAAGTAAAGATTGTTAGCACACTCTTTGGCCACTCATTGTAATCTCAATCTGGTGTGTGGTGACACTTGGTCCCTTCAGAAATGTATTTTACATTCTGTCCAATATAACAGCGGCACACACTGTTATTCAAACTATATTTACATTTTATTTAAACGTTGGCATCTTTCCATTAACCTAAACGTCATAGACACTAGATGCAATAAAGTGTTGGAACAAGCGCATCCATATTTAATATTAAAATAAAACATAATATCTCAGAAACGAGAGGAAAGTACGTCAACCAAAAGGAGTAGCTCTCAAGGTAAGTGGAAAAAGGAAACTGAGTGAAGTAACTCACAAGAAGCCCAGCAAGGCTGACCTGAATCTGGTTCTAGATTTGCATCGTACTCTGGGGATGTGTGCTTGTGAGGACATCTAGTGCCTCGGTACAGACGGATTTTCTTTCGTGCCTGCTCAGTAAATAGGTTACCCATGTGATAAAGGAAAAGAGCATTTCTGATCAACTCACCAAGGAGGAGCAAAAGGGGCAAAAGGAAAAGCAGGAGCCTCCAGAGTTTAGGAAGGCATCTGAAACACAGAGATACACTGGTCAGATAAACAAGTACATGCTGTTGATTCATCTAGCAGTTGTGGAGCAAAGATAGTATTCACTTGGAGTGAACGCAAGTCCAATATGTCCTCTCTTTAGCCACTTAATGCTGTCCTATATTCATCAGCAAGTTGTTTACTGCGTCTGTTTGGAGCTAAAAAGTTAGTGTTGACGTTTTTTGTAATAGTAATAGGGGAAGGCGAGTTCTGTTTAGCCTTTCGGGGCTGCAGATTGAATTTCATCACTACGAGCCATGCATTTGACATTACATTACATTTAGCTGACGCTTTTATCCAAAGCGACTTACAATAAGTGCATTCGACCAACAAAATACAAACTTGAAGAAAAACAGAATCATAAGTACATCAGGTTTCATAGAGACAAAACACTCAAGTGCTACTCAACTGGCTTTAGATAAGCACGCCCTTTATTAGTATATAAGTTCTTTGATAGTCATTTTATTGCTCGAAGTGGATTCGAAAGAGATGAGTTTTTACATTGAAGATGAATTTTACATTTTTATTTTATAAATTGTTTTTACAAAAATATATTTTCTTTAAACGTTTTGACAACAGTTAATATATAAGCTGTTCATTGTTTTCCCTTTTGTGCATTGCAACACCGGAAGGTTCAGAAAAATAGGGCTTACCGTGTCAGAAAGAAGACATTGAGAAGAGACACAAGAGACACCAGCTGGTACCATCCTGTTGCAAGAAACCACAAGAGTCCTCTGCCTGCCTTCACTGGGACGATGGAATAAATATAAGACACACACACAGAGAATGAGATCAGAAGCTGTTAAAGGAAGAAGCAGAGACGACACATCATCGTAACAAGATGACTCCACTGACCTGGAGCAGCCAGGAGCATCCAGAAGACGGAGAGCAGCCTCTGCACCACTGTCCGAACCACTGTCCCGACCCCTGACCCCAACGCTTTGCCGGCTCCCGCCACACAGTAGCCTGGCTGCAGGAGACAGTGACCTAGAAGACAAGGGGAAAGAGTTCAGTTGATCAATTACAGCGTGTTCACATCTACAAAACATATGAGTACTAAACACATTCTTCTAACAGTATATACACAGGATGTTATCAACGCAAGTAAATTGCTGGTTAACCTGCATAAGCTAGGACGCTCCACAGCGCCCCCACCAGGCGTCGAGGCCTGGAGGACTGTGTGAGGAGGACGGTGTGTGTCTCTGAATGCTGCTTCCCTTTACAGTCATCGCCTGTGTACGCCGACATGATGGATGGCAGGCAAACAGAAAACACACAAAAAACAAAGGATGTGTGAATGGATGGCATTAAGATGGATTACAAGTAAAAACAAAGTTATGCAATTCGTAATTAGGCGAAGGAACAGACATTCAAATGTATTGATTTAGGTTTGAAATAAAAAGAACGTTCAAGCGGGCCACGTGCAGGCATGATGAACAATATGCAATATACTATATGTGATGACAACATGGACAGCTAGATGTATGAGAACATGCCCGTGATCATTCCTCAGCTGTGTTTCCTTAATGGAAGTTTGTTTTTTTACATTTGTTTGATTATTTCTCAATTTAGGGAAACGTCCACCCCTTGACCTCTTCATTCACTTATGTTAAACATCTGTTATTATACTATTTGTGTAAGATAAAAACAAACTAGTTTGAAGACAAGCAAGCTGCTAGTCCAAAGTGTATCATCATTTATGAAGGTACGTTTTGATGTTAAATTGGACTCTTAAAAAACAGGTTTGAAGGACTAACTTCATTGAAAGGAAAGTATCTGCTGGTTATAACGGTCAACAGGCTGCTGACTTGTTAAAGCAGTTCACACAACCTCTGCCTGGTGGTCCTAACACAGGTCACGCATATCATTAACTAAGTCACTCAAAGCTACCACACAAACGTTCCAAGTATAGAGAGAAAGAGGTCGTGTGTGTGCGCGTGTGTGTGTGTGTGTGTGTGTGTGTGTGTGTGTGTGTGTGTGTGGGTGTGTG